CTCTCACGCATGAGAGGATGCGGTCAGGTTTCAGAGGGGCACAAAGCCCCGGTGCCGAAAGTGGACGTGCGCAGCGAGCGCATCATTCAGAACTGACTTTGACCAGCCCGAGGGTGCCAGACGACAAGCACCTTGAGGGCCGCGTGCAGCCGGAGACATTGCTAACCTATCGCAAGCGAGCAGCGGAGTTTTACCAATGGTGTGTGGCCGAGGGGGCCAGCCCCTGGAGCCCAGCCGAGTGAGGCGACACGATCATGGAGTACAAGGCCTCAGTGGACTTGCTCAAGAGTCATTTCACCTCCCTGCTCGCCGCTATTGAATTCAAGTTTCCGCGGCTGAAGGGCCGCCTTTGCAAATGCCACGCCGCCTTGCGTGGCTGGGAGTTAGAGCACCAGACCAAGCACACGGTGCCGACGGTGAGCACCGCCCAGGCTTTAATCAGCGTCCGCCTCAGTGCGCTCGGAGAGCCTCGTCTGGCCATCGGCCTCATGTTGCGAGGAAAAGTGGGGATGCGGCCCAGCGAGATGCTGGGGATCGTCACGTCCGATCTCGTCTTCCCCGAGGAGTCGGGGCACGGTCGAGGTCGAGGGCCCCTGATAGTAGGCTTGGGTATCGAGGCGAACACCACGGCGGAGCGCCCCCAGTCGAACGCCATCCTGGAGGCCTCCAGCCCCGTATTGGTGAATCTCTTGAGGACCCCGAAGGCTCACGCGCCCCTTGGGGGCCGCATGTTCCCCTACACCCTCGAGAAGCACCGCAAGTTGCGCGCTCGCATCCAGTTGGAGTGTAACCTACCAATGGGATGGACCCCCACAGCGCCCGGGCAGGTTTCGCATCGGAGGCCACTGCGCGGGGCATGTCTTTCGAGCAGATTCGAGAAATAAGCGGGCCGATGGAAGGTGGGCAGTTCCCTTCGAATCTACATCGACATGGTCCAGGCTGCCCACATAACCGTGGGGCTCAAGTCGGCTGGGTGGGGAACAGCTTTCGATTGGGCCGGCCAGCACTGGGCCTGGTATGCGTTAAGGGCACTACATGGCACCGGAGGGCTCCAAGCGCCTGGCTGACGGGTCGTGGACTGCACCGGAGACGCTACCTTCGGCCAGATCGAGTACGCCACCACCATCGCCCTTCTCTTCTGGGCACTCGTCCTGGGTTCTGCCGAGCCACCCACCTACTCCGACCAATTTGGTTTTACCTTTCGGCTTGACGCCGACGCCGCCGCCGACGGGTCTGGCGACGCCGCCGCTGACCAAGGCGGCGCCTGGGGTGCCGGCCTCGTGGACAGCCCCCAAGCAACATCCAGCCCGCTGGCGTGTTTCCTCAGTGTGGTACCTGTGGAAGCTGTTCAAAATTTCCTCCAGCTGCAGTGGCAGTCGCAGCTGTGCCGTGCTCATCTTGGCCGTGCTACTGACTACGGCGTGGAGCCCTTTGTTCGCGCGTTCCATGAGCATCGCTTCGGACGTGGCCGAGGAGGTCGGCGGGGCCGCAGGCCGCATGCTGGGGGCAGGCGCGAACGTGTCTTCGAGTGCGGCTCGGATTTTCAGCGCCCTCACCGACAATGCCCTCAGCCTCGCCAAGACCGCGTGGGAAGGCATCGACCTCGCCGACGTCGCGGTCAACAGCTCCGCCAGCCGCATCTTTTTCGATTGAAACGAGTACGCAGAAGACGTACTGACTACGCCCGAGGCTCGGGCCGTGATGGGGATGCCCGACCTCTGGCTCCAGGCGCTGGCGGACATTATGATTTTTGCATATCCCTCTCGACCGCTGGTGGAGGTCCACAAGCACTTCTTCATCAGCGACTCATCCTACACCTCCCTGGACCTCTGGATGTCCTGGTTCGACACGGGCCATGTGGGCTTGGCCTGGAGGACAGCGGCGGCCACCTACAACGCACGCTGGGCCAACCCCATCTGGTCGCTGACAGAGGACGCTACCACCCAGACGATTCGAATCTCGGAGCTGCTGCAAGAAGCCATCCAGGCGACCATTGACAAGCCAGACCTCACTCTGTCCAAGTCGGCGTTCCAGCACGCTCCAGCCATCACGCCAGCCTCGGTGCCGATGAAGCTCTGGAAGTGGAGCAAGCGCCTAGCCGCCTGGGCTTGGCCGCGAGACGGGAACGGGGCCTCGAGCTCGTCGTCGGCGCCTGGCGCCGAGGACGAGTCCCACTTCGCCGACGGGATCGCCGCCGACGAGGGCTCCCCGGGGGCGAGGAAGGGCGAGGGCGACAGGTTCTCCGAGCCCGACCCCATCAAGCCTGTCGAGCCCTCTGCATAGGCCGCGAGCGAGTTCGGGAAGGAGGTAAGCGAGGACCTAGCGAAGTTCTTGGTCGTGCGAGTTTCATGTCCCACATCAGTTGCAGGCTGACGCCTATCATTCATATCTTACGTTCATTGCAGCTTGCCGGGGAGGTGTGCGACTGACCGCTCACAGATGTGAATACTTCAGCAGTGAATGATAACAAGTTATCTCTCGAGGTCCGTGCAGGAAAACATCGAGCGAGTTTCTTTATTCAGAAGCGCAACGCGCTCGCACGTCTGGCCTCTCGGGCTCAGATGTCCAGAGCCTCTACGGTGTGGCGTCTAGGGCTTTAGGCTAAGGCTCTTTAGGTCCTCTTGGGTACTCATGGGTGGGGCCCCGTTCTTGGGATCGCACCTGAAATGGGTGAGTGGGTTTTGAACGTTGATTTTCAGATAGGTTAGCGAAGGGGCCTAGGGGCTGGAAATATCTTGAAATGTCTTGCTGTTTCGGTCGTTGTCTCCAGGTCTTGCCTGCGCCCGAAACCGTTCCAAGCTCAAGGCACCCTCCCAGCCCTCGGTCCTCCGTACAGGTCTCACGCATTGCGTTTCCAGTTCTGACGTCCCCCCGAGCCGTGGTCAGCACCACGCGGCGGGGCTTCTCCCGATTCCCTTCAGGCGACCCTCCCCCTCGCTTCGGACCTAGCGGAGTTCTTGGCCGTGCGAGTTTCATGTCCCACATCAGTTGCAGGCTGACGCCTATCGTTCAGATGTTACGTTCATTGCAGCTTGCCGGGGAGGTGTGCGACTGACCGCTCACAGATGTGAATACTTCAGCAGTGAATGATAACAAGTTATCTCTCGAGGTCCGTGCAGGAAAACATCGAGCGAGTTTCTTTATTCAGAAGCGCAACGCGCTCGCACGTCTGGCCTCTCGGGATCAGATGTCTGTGTACATCTATGTAAACATGCATGAATGTATGTATGTGTGTGCAGATATGCATGCATGCATGCATGCATGCATGCATGCATGTATGTATGTATGCGTGTATGTATGTATAAATGTATGTATGTATGTATGTACGAACGTATGTATGTATGTATGTACGTATGTTTGTATGATTGTGTGTATGTATGTATGTGTGTATGTATGTATGTATATGTTTTTGTATGTGTGAGTCTGTATGCATGCATACATGCATGCATGCGTGTGTCTGTTTGCTTATATATATACGTATGTATGCACACATGTATATACGTATGTATGCATGCGTGTATGCATGTATGTATGCATGCGTGCATGCACGCACGCACGCATGTATGTAGGTAGGTCGATACGTGGGTGGGTGGGTCGGTATGTAGGAAGGTCGGTATGTGTGTACGCATGTATGCATCAATATGTGTACGTACGCATGTATGTATGTATGTATGTATGTATGTATACACGGGTATGTATGTACGTGTGTAGGTATGTATGTACGTATGTGCGCATGTGTGTATTTATGTACGCACGTATGGATGCAACTTTGTATACAAGTCTGTACGTATGGCTGTTTGCTTGTCAGTCTGTCTGTCTGTCAGTATGTATGTCTGTCTGTTTGTGTGTAAGTATGTATGCATGCATGCATGTATGTATGCATGTATGCATGTATGTGTGCATGTGTTTTCCTGGAGTCCTCCGGAAGCCTGACCGTTTGTTCCACAACAAAGAACGGTGTTCGATTGGCCAGCCGGGTTAATGTCACCGCATACTCAGCGAAGGCCGGCCGGGTTAATGTCACCGCATTATCGTCCTACGTATTGGTAGCGTTGTTAGCAACACTCCTTCCAAGCCTGCTCCCGCTCCTGAATTTGAAGGGCAAGAGCCAGCAAAAAGAGGAGGAGGAGGAGGAGGAGGAGGAGTAGAGAAGGACAGGGAAAGCAACTTGCGGCGGATGCTGCGGATTACCCTGCAGCCTCTACACATGTGTGCATGTCTCCTTGCGATACTGAGAGAGAAAGAGAGAGAAAGAGAGAGAGAGAGAGAGAGAGAGAAAAAAAAAAAAGCATGAGGAATGTGCGGGGAAGTGGAAGCAGAAAAGAAGGGGGAAGGAGCAGGAGGAGGATTCGTAGTAGGGGCTGTGGGGAGTGGAGGAGGAAGAGATGAGCGGAAGGAGGGCCTCGGCTTTGCGCCAAGTGCCTGTGGGGTGTTCCTTGGGCCTTGTTGGGGCCTCTCGGAGCCCTTCTGGGGGCCGCTGTTGGGCATGTTCGACAATTCTTGTTCGGCCGTGCCTCGCACTTGAAGGTTTAGGGGGTATCTTTGGGCCTTCTTGGGGCTCATAGGGCCCTCGTCTTCTGACCCCTCAACATAACGCAGTCGGGCCATCTCGGGGCCATCTTCAAGTCTCGGAGGCACACCCAGGGCCGCGGCAAGGGGGCGCCGCGGCCTACATCTGCAAGAGCCTCACGGCTCTTCGCGTGACCTCGGGCCCCTCGGGGAATCGTACCCTGGGAAGCTCCGGGGCGACCTCGGAGCCTTGCTGGGGCCGCCTCGGGGCGCTCCGGGCGCCACGCGGGAGGCCATCTATGGCCATCTCTGGGCCAACGCGGCCCGCCGGGCGCCACCTTTCGGGCGCCTGCCTCGCCTCGATCGCGGCGGCCGCGCCCCGCGGTGGCCCGGCCCTGGGCGAGGACCACCGGGCGCTCTGCGGCTGGCTCCGCGGCCGGGGGCGGCGGCGCCGAGGCCCTCCGGGGCCGGCCGGTTTGACAGCCCTCCGCCTGGTCTTGTCCGCCACGGCCTGCAGCATCTTGACGTTCTTGTCCTCAGCGGGCCCGGCCAGGCCCCTCGCCCGCCCCATCCCCTTCTGCCGCCCGCCTCTCGTGCTGCCTCGTCTTCCCTCGCGCCCCTGCTGTCGCTTCCCCTCCCCCACCCCCCTCTTGACCTCCCTTTCCCCCTCCCTTGCCTCCTCTGCCCTCTCCCAGTTTCTCCCGCTCCTGCTCTCGACGGTTTGCCACCTACCGCCGCTTCTGTTCCTGCTCCCCCTCCTTTCTCGTGACCCTCCCCGCCCCTCCTGCTCGTGGTGGTGGTGGTGGTGCTGCTGCTGCTGCTGCTGCTGCTACTGCTGCTACTGCTGCTGCTGCTCCTCCTTGGGTTCCAGGACTTACCTCTCGGTACCTCTGCCAGTTCGGGCCACTGCGTCGGAGTGGCCGGGGAAGGTATCGATCTGGCGGGCGGAGGGTACTGGCAATCGCTCGGACGTCCATCTCCTGTGCATTGTTGAATTTCGCGCTTGCATTCTCTCAAGATGGCCCAAGATGGTTCAGATTTTCCGGCGCCCGTATCGCCGACACGAATACACACGGCCAAGCGATGTCATGAGCAAAGACAGACCCTTCCAGTCCCCCCCTCGCACCGGGCGAATGTGGTCTGAACGCCTTCCTGGGCTGCCGTAGCCTGACCGCCCGTTCCCTCGCCCTGAGCGACGATTCCTCGGTGCCGCCCCGCGGCTCGCGGCGCCACGGACAGGCAGCAAGGACAGCGCCAGCGCCTCCACGGCCAGGAACACGAGGCGTGCTCGGCGGGTGGCGGGCACCCTGGCGGCGCAGCGCGGTTGGAGGCGCTTTGTCGGCCGTCCTGTTGGGCATGGCGTCTCCGGAGGTCCCGCAGCTGCCGAGCGAAGCGATGCACGGCGTCGGCTTCGAGCTGCCCAAAGGCTCGGCGGATCCGTCGGCCGAGGCAGAGGGCTGCAGCTCGGTCGGCCTGGCAAAACGACGTGCCGCACATTGGGAAGAGCGGATTCGGTCTCAGCGGCGCTGCTCGGCTCTTCGGGCTGCGACTCGATCGACTGCTGGCCGGGTGTAATCTCAGGCAGACACGTGCTGATCCAGGGGTACTGCACGCTGCGACGGTCCTGGCGCTGTAGTGGTTTCGACGCACATCGGAAAGCTGACGTACGCGGAAAAGGAAGATGCCGGTGGCAGCCTTGGGGAATGTGTTCGATGATGCTGGCAGCATTATTTGAGAATGCGCTCGGCCAGATGACGATGCACGAGAACGACTTCGTGAACTGTGGCCTGCGACACCGCAGCTCAAGGACATTGGCGTGGATGCGCGCCGCATCAGTGACGAGGACGTTTCATCGCTGGTCGTGGTCACACAGTACCCGTCGCTGCTGGGTGCTGTGGCATGGTGCGTGTTGACATTGCTGGGCGTATGCACCCACGCCTCGGCGCTTCAGAAGGACTGCAGAGACCTGGGACTCCCACACGTGCGGCCCCTGAGCGTGCTGCCGAAGCACGCGGAGGAGCACCCGCGGTCGCTGCCAGCGGCGGCGCGGCAATTGCCGGCCCTGCCCGAGCGCATCGGTGCTGTGGGCGCGGCTATCCAGCCTCCCGCCGCGCCGACCGGCGCCAGCGCCGACCTGCGCCAGCGCCGCCACTGCTGCCGCGCCGCAGGCGCAGGTAGGCGCAGGCCGGTCGAGTCGGCACCGCTGCGAGGCGGACACGACACACAGGGCAGCGCCCAGAGCGCGCAAAAAAGGGCAGAAGCCCGCGGGGGGGGAACCACCGCCTCCAGCGCCGCCCCCGCTGCCGGGAGGCGCCGCGGCTCCGGGCGCGCCCGAAGCGGGGGGCCACGGAGAGAAGGGGGGGGGGGGGCAGCGCAGCGCCGCCGGAGGCACGCGCGCGCACGAGTGGGGGCCACTGGGCGTGCCGAGAGGGGGAGAGGGCGCCACGAGGCCTGAGAGATCTCGCCGCCCTGGCTCAGACGCACCCCCCCCAGGGCCAGGCCTCACTCGGGGGCTCATGACTGGGGGGGGCGATGCTCGGGGGGGGGGGAGGAGAAACGTGCACCTCTCGCGCCCCTTTGGGGCCCCAGGGGGCCCCCCTAGGGCACGAGGAGGTGCACCATTCGTCACCCCCCATCTGGCCCACCCGAAACCCTTCACCCCAAAACGTTGTCATCTATTGGGGGCTCACCTTTTACTTCCGCCGCCTTCCGCCTGCCTCCGCCGGCTTGTGGCCTCGTCTTGCTCCCGCCACCTTCCGCCGCGCCCTTCCGCCAGTTCCCGCCGAGGAAGAGCTGACAACTCCTCCGACCCTCGCAGACGAGGCCCTTCTGTGGAACACCTCGTCCATCGCCCCCCTCCCGTTCGGGTGCTGCTAAAAGTACCCCTGGCCCAAGGTGTCCCCGGCTTTCCGCTCCATCTTGGAGCCCCTGGGGCCCTCTGGGCCTCGTGAGGAGTGCTTTGGAGGTCGTTTGGGCCAACCCGAAATCCTGAGGGCACCTTGGCCCAGGGGCACTCCTAGCAAGGGCTCCCAACTTCGCGCTTCGCGCTGCGCGAAGCGCGAAGTGCGAATAACTTCGCGCTCTCGCGCCGCCTCCCAGGGGAGAAGGAGAGGATGAGGAGGAATCGGAGCCGAACCGCGAAGCGCGCAGCGCGAATACCTTCGCGCCCTCGAGGGCGCCCTTGCCCAGCAACACCCCTCCCGTGCAAAACGCCCTTGCCTCACCCCTCGCCTGGACGCCCCGAGCAGCTCCGGCTCTCGCCTCCGGCCGGCGCGCCGCCTGCGCGTGCCGGCTCCTGCCGTCGCGCCCCCGCCGCCCCCCAGCTCGGACGCCCTCGGCAGCTGCGGCCCTCGCCTTTTACCCGGCCGGCGCGCCGCCCCCCCCACGCCCCTCTGCCCCCTCCTCCCAGCTCCCCCTCCGACGCCCTTCTCCTCCTCCTCCAACGCCCCCCTCCTCCTCTTCCTCCTCCTCCTCCTCCTCCTCCTCCTCTTCCTCCTCCTCCTCCTCCTCCTCCTCCTGCCTCCTCCTCCTCCTCCTCCACCTCCTCCTGTCTTTCCTCCTCGTGTCTTTCCTCCTCCTCCTCGCTTGCATCGTTTTTGGGTCTTGTGATTGCAAGCGGTAGGTTCCCGATGCGGTGGTCGATCGCACGAACCACCTGTGTGAGAGAGTCTGTGCCGAACCGAAGCGGTCATGCCTCCAGTTCTGTGGTCTGCCGCCCTTTGCCGACTCGTGGTGCATTTGCCTGCTCTTGCCAAGCTTGTTTGGGGGTGGGGAAAGTTAGCGGGGGGCGGGGACATCGACGGAGGAGCTTGGAGCATCGATGGATCAGGAGGGCAACACGATAAGGACTGGCACTTGAGGCGCTGCGGGTGGGCGTGCGTCCACTCACGTCCTACTGCCTACTGGTCAGTTCGATGGATTGCTGACGGGTGCGCTGCCCACGCCAAAGCAGGCCCCACCGCGCGCCTAGCTCTTGAAAAGCTCGGGAGCGCGCAGACATGGCGATCCATGGATTTGGCGCGCGATTGCCAAATCCATGGGTCCGGGGAGGTGCCCTCCCCAAAATGCGGCCGGTGCCGCCTCGCTCGGCGGCGGAAATCCGCGATGTCCCATGGAAACCGGACCTGTCGCTAATCCGCGCCCCCTGAATCCGTGATTGCGATCGCCTGAATTTTCTCTCTCATTGTGCTGGCGCGACACTCCACTAGGGACGGTCGCGCCAATGGTGAAAGGGTCTCCACGGCCCCTGCCGGCCGAGAGCGTGGAGGTTCGCATAACTTGATCAGGACGAAATCCCTCCTCGTCGTCCTCCTCCCCCTCCTCGCTCCTCCTCCTGCCTGTCCTCCTCCTCCTCTTCCTTCTCCTCCTCCTCCTCCTCCCCCTCCTCCTCTCCTTCCTCCTCCTGTCTTTCCTCCTCCTCCTCCTCCTCCTCCTAATCCTCCTCCTCCTCTTCAGGACGAAATCCCATCCGACCCAGTCTCAACGCCAAAGCATACGTAGAACATCACCTGTCGAGCTGCAGTTGAATGATGCAGCTGTTGTGTTCGCTAATGCGGCCGCAGCTCGAGGCTAGCTTGCGGAAGAGTTTGCGCAAAGGACCCATGGGGCCGACGAGTTTGCGTCGCAGGTTGTTTTGAGACGGCTGGCGGTCCAAACAGGAAGTCCTTTTTACGTGCGAGCGTGAGCGGGGTGAACGTCCCCCGCAGGAAGAACCAGTCTACAAGCCTGGCTTGCTGAGGCTGTGTAGATTTCAAGATGCAGGGCATGACCCTCGCGTCTCAAAGGTCTCTGCGCGTTGCAAGTGCTGTTGTCGTAGTTTTACCTTGCTGGGTAAGCTGTCTGATGTTTGGCCTGATCCTTGTTGCCAAGGTGTCAGGTTGAGCAGCGGATTCAGGCCTTCCATTTCGCGAGCCCGTTCCGCTTGAGGAGTGCCCCGTTCCGGATGATGTTGGTCCGACTCGCCTGTGCGGTGGCGCGATGGACCATCCTCTAGCGCGATGGGGGCAGCCGCGGCTGGGCGACGGCCACGACACCTCGCGTGCCGCACCCAAGCTGCTGTGGGGCGGGCTCGCACGCTTGCTGTGCAGTCGTGGCACCAGTTGTAGTCTGCAAGTGCTTGGGCACGGACAGCGGGCATGTGCGCAGTACTGCGCGATTTTGTCCAGCCAAGTTTTGTCCTTCGGTTCGCCTCCTCGTCGCCCCTTCGCCTTCGTCTCCCCGTCGCCCTCCTCCCCTCCCGTGTCGTGGTCCTGGCCTTGGTCCTCCTCGCTCTGTCGGCCCCGTCGGTCGGGCCCCTCGCTGGCTCGCTCGGGCCCGACTTCTGCGAGCGTCGTGCGAATCGTGCTGTGTACGTGTGTGTGTAGTATGTACCACACTCGGCTGTGCGAGTATTCTCCCAGTGGGCTGGATCGTTGACTGCTCAACAGCTGCGTCTGCTTCTTCTTAAAATATGTATAATATTGTTGCCGTTATTATTGTTGATGCTATGACTGCTGTGATCATTCGTATCAGCAGTGCTGTTGGTATTATGACTAGTCATACTAGTATGATTCCGTATTGTTGATGACGCCACTGATCGTAT